TTTCTCAGGTGTTCAAATACTTATGTTCAGCAGTGCAAGACAAATAAATTCTTTAAAAATCATACAATGTGATTTCCTGAAATTTTTTTTTAATTCTGTCTCTCAGAGTGGGAATGCACCTATAATGTGAATTTCAGACCCCTCCATGATTTCTAAGTGGGAGAACTTGCAAAATCGCAGGGTGTTCAAATACTTCTGTTCCTCACTGTACTAATTCTACTTCAGTTAAGTTTGAGGTCTTTTGTCCCCTCGCCCCAGTTTGTACCTCATATATTATTGCTCCATTCAGAAAACTAAACTTGCTTTTCTGAAAAATAAATACTCAGATCTGTAAAATACAGTGAAAGTCATTTAACATTCAAATCAAATCAAATTTATTTGTATAGCACTTTAAAACAACTTCCAGTTGACCAAAGTACTTTACATGGGAAAATAAAATCACAATAAATGTCTAAAATAAAGTAAATAAGATCAGTGCAAATAAAAACAGCACAATAACAGACACACATAACATACATTCAATAAATTAAAATTAAATTAAAAGCAGTTAAAAGGAATGCATCAGGGCCTACTGTGTCTTAAAAGCCAAGCCAAATAAATATGTTTTAAGCAATGATTTAAAAGTACTGAGGTCAGTAGCTGACCTAACATTAAAAGGTAGACTATTCCATAATTTAGGGGCTGCAACAGTAAAAGCACGGTCACCCCAGCATTTATATCTCACCCTAGGAACCTCTAAAAGAAACTGGCTTGAAGATCTGAGGGACCTAGAAGGTTTGTGCCAGTGCACTAATTCAGTGAGGTAAAATGGTGCCAAACCATTAAGAGCCTTAAAAACAAAAATCAATAACTTAAAATCAATTCCAAAATGGACTGGAAGCCAGTGGAGAGAATCCAGTACCGGGGTTATACGTATGCTCAAATTTCCTAGTACTTGTCAAAAGAGGAGCAGCAGCATTTTGCACCATTTGGAGGCGAGTGAGGGATGACTGGTTAACACCATAGCATAGAGCGTTGCAATAATCAAGTCTAGAAGTGATAAAGGCATGAACTGCAATCTCAAAATCATTAAAAGAAAGGAATGGCTTGACCTTGCTTAAGAGCCTCAGGTGGAAGAAGCTAGATTTCACAGCCGAGTTGATCTACTTGTCAAACCTCAAGTCGCCATCAAACATCACCCCTAGATTTTTTACAGTTGACTTCATGTGTCGAGCTAGGGCGTCCAGGCCCTGGTTAGAAGCAGTTAGGTTTGCCAGGTCGCCAAATAGCACACACTCTGTCTTATTTTCGTTGAGATTTAAAAAGTTAAGTGCCAACCATGATTTCAAGTCTGTCAGACAGTCAACCAGCGGCTGTAATGACATTCCTCTAGTTGCCTTTAATGGTAAGTAAATCTGAATGGCATCTGCATAACAATAAAAGGAAGGCCATATTTCCTTAAAATAGATCCAAATGGGAGCATGTACAAAGAGAACAAAATGGGACCAAGCACAGATCCTTGGGGGACACCACAGGAAAGGCTAGTTGGAGGAGGACAAACAGGTACCAATATTAACAGTAAAATGTCTATTACTGAGATAAGATCTGAACCAGTTACGAATAGTACCTTGAATTCCTAAGCACTTCTCCAAATGAGATAAGAGGATTCCATGATCACTGTATCGAAGGCAGCAGTGAGAGCTAAAAGCACCAATTAAACCGAATCCCCAGCGTCCCTAGCCAACAGGATATCATTATTGATTTTTAATAACGCAGACTCAGTACTATGTTTTGATTTAAAACCAGATTGAAATTGCTCCTCAATGCCATTATCTGCTAAAAAAGGCTGAAGCTGGATAAAACAAATCTTCTCCAGAACTTTAGTCATAAAAGATAATTTAGACACTGGTCTAAAATTAGAAAACACTAAAGGATCAAGATTTGGCTTTTTGAGAAGAGGCTGGACAATCACTTTTTTAAAGCATCTGGAACTGAGCCAGTCCTTAAACATAAATTAATTAGAGCCATAAAGCTAGGCCCAACAGAGTCAAAAACATCCTTAGACAGTCTAGCTGGCAAACAATCCAAAAAACAGTGAGATGCTTTCATGTGGTGAACCAGTTCAGATAGCAGAGGTAAAGATACAGACTCAAACTGATCAAAGACAGCAGAATGCAAAAGAATATCAGATGGGTCAGGATTAGTAGAACAGGAGGACTGCCTAATGCTAGTAATTTTATCAGTAAAATATTGAAGAAAACCCTCACATACTGCTTCAGATGCCTCGGGATGAGAGGCAAGGTTACATGGGTTGATAACAGAATTAATTGTACTAAACAAGACCTGAGGTTTATGACGATTACTGGTGACAATGTTGGAAAGGTAGCTCGATTTGGCAGATTTTACAGCCTTCTGATAGTCAGAAAGACAATCCCAGAAATAGTTTATCCTTCTTCCATTTACGTTCAGCTTGCCGACATCTTTGTCTAAGTGCCCGAGTAGAATTCTTTGGCCAAGGCTGCAAGTGTTTTTTTAACAGAATTTTGGCTCCCTAGCAGCATCCATGTGTTAGCATGCTACTGTTAGCACTTAGCTCAAAGCAGCACTGCGCTAACAGAGCTGCTAACATGTCTGTAAACGCGCAGTCTTGTTAAAAGATCAGCAGGTTGAAGTTTTGGTTGAAGCTCTGCAGCCAGGTCTGTTATTCCATACTGTAGCTCCAAATACTGTTTTTGTCAAACAATCCTCTGAATATATGTGAAATTATACAGGAAATGTTTGTGTGACAGGCTCCTACACACAGGCTAAAACTCTAAACTAGCAATGGAGAGAAATCTGCATCAAATTCAGATATTTAAGGAACTACAAGTTTATAGCTGTCCATAGACTTTAAGATTACCTTTCCTTTTTAACAACTTATCAGTGACAGACTGAGATAAACTGTTTTTATCCTGATGGCATGGCACCTTTTCTTAATTTCTTACACAAATTCATCTCTAACTTTACTTCATCATTTTGGTTGAAGCTCTACAGTGATGATACAAGTATATTTGTTTGTGTAGCAAGATTTGAAGTCCCAACCTGATTTTTTCTAAACATCTGGAGGTGACAACCTTATTTCTACTCTGTGTAAAGGTTACAGTCTGCACTTCTGTGCACTTTCTTCTGCACTTAGTAAGTCGTCCATAGATAAATGACCAGTAAGTTATAGTTTACGTTGTATCAGAAGGGTTAACGGAGTGGGGAAGTGGAGCGACCACAGAGCATGATGTAAACCCTGGACTCTACTGTTAACACTTGCAGCAGTCGACACACCCAAAAGAAAAGTCCAGCTTATTGACATAACAGATGTCCTGTGCAAACACACACACTGTCACTGATGCTGTGGCGTTCACACACCAAACTCACACACTAGCCTGGATACAATTTCCCACTCAACTTCAGCCATGTGAAAACTGGAATAAGGTTGAGAGAATAGACGCATTCCCGAAACTTCCCACTTGGACAGATTTGTATGGATGACGGTGGAGACACAGGAGAGAACAATCGAGCGAGCCGCCCTCAGCAGGTTGAAGAAAATCCCCAGTCAAACAGCCCAGAGGAGAAATCTGGTTCCTATCTGAGGCTTGTGCATGTGAAGATGAGAGTGAGCATGTCTGGCACAAGATTAATCAGAAAGCCATTACCCTTGGGGGAAACGTGTGGGGAGGTTCAGTCCTGGAAGCAGTGGAGATGCACATCACTGAATGTGTCTGAGGTCTCCCCCTGAGGTGACCCATCACTTTAAAATGTTATTTACTGCAGGCCAAGTTTTTTTTATTGCCAAGAGGGTTAGATGAATGTATTAATTAGAAATGGTTTGTAGAAAAGCTCAGTTAGAGGAGAAAATGTTATTTTGGTACAAGTACTGAAACACAGGTATCCCACAATCCCCAGCGCTGATGAGGCCTTTAGTTGTATAAAGTTGTGTTTCACAGTCAGTGTTGGCTCTGTTTCCCTCCCCGCCTTTATATTAACTAGAATTCATGCCTCTGGGTTGTAGGCCCCCGCCAACCAGTCAAATTCACTGCCATGGTACACACATGAGGATACAGCGACCAGCTCTGTCCAGGGTTCAGAAATACACCTGTTAACGCCTCTGAAGTTCACTGACTGACTTGTTGTATCTTGTTTAAGCCTGACATCAAAGGAAATGTGACCAGAGTTAACGCTTTATGGTTGTATGTGTCAAATCCAGGGGAATGGGTTTTTATATACAGTCAGTGGTAAGAGGTGACGTCACTGTGACTTTGACACTTGTGCCAAAATTGAAGAAACTCCCTCAAGGTGTTCTCGACAGATTGCATTTACAAGAAAGGGCCAGACAGATGGACAGACAATGTAATGGCTCCAGCTATCACCTGCACATTGCCATAAAAATACCCCAAAACCTTAAGATGCTTTCTCTTGGGATTTTCATTTGATTACTTCCTGTCATTTAGTGTGAATGTTGGACAATAAGGCGAACAGGAGCTCTGCTCACCAAACGTCACACTACTGTTTTAACACCTGCCCATCTCACTGCACAATGCAGAGACACTGATACACAAGGGGAGTACACACACACTCTTTGCTCAATTCCTCCCAATGTGGACTTTAATCCTGGTCCAGGTTGTAAACATGGTTGTGATAAAGGCACAACTGTGCTGGAGAATGATCTGATATGCAACAGGAGGAGGGAGGCCGGAGGAAGTGCCACAGGGCCAACTGGAGGCACATCAGACAAGAAGATACTGTCGGCATCCTCGTAGATAAAACACAGCCTAATGACTTCATCATGAGATGCTACCTAAATATTCATCTCTTCATCAGAGAAGCTCGTGAACCATCTTCTCTTGATCTGCTCTCGGTGCTGGATGGAAACTGCTCAGATTGAGTGAAAGTTCAGTTCAAGCAGCTGTGCGCACTGCTGACCGGAAACCACCAGCCACTGATAATTGCAGTGCCCTTCCAGTGAAGCACACTGTTCCGGTACGGACGGTGACATCACTCCCTGCCAGATGGAGGATTTACAGAAAGTACAGAAAAACAAAGAACAGAAGCAAGAGAACCGGTTAGGAAACGGATAAACTCACTGACGGGTGGATGAATGGGAGTCTAGCTGAAAAGCTGTGAAGCTGAGATGCCAATAAACAGCAGATGTGTGGTCTGAGAGCAGATTTCACCAACTGGACTAAATGTGGACTCATGTTGGCTCTGTTGGACAAAGTTTCCAAAACTATTATTTAAATGTTTGCTGAGTTTCCATCCTTGAAAGTGGCTGCATGTTTAAGCTAAACTGAGAACAGGAGGCTGAACCCAAGAAGATGTGAGCAACTTGTAAACACACTGATACGGTCCTTTACAGAAAACTGCTAATTACTTTTACACATTTTGATGACCATTCACCGGAATTTCCCTGGGGATCAATAAAGTATCTATCAGTCATTCTCCAATGCAGACTAATATGCAGTCTTGATATTTTTGGATGTGCTTTACTTCCTGCTTCAGGCCTGGTGGATTAACCCCCTACCAGGCTGCAGTCATACTGCATAGACAGAGCTATCTGAAAGCACCACCTTGGGCTCTGGAAACTCCTTGTGTACTATTTCATAGAGTTTTACAGACAGAGAAGATCAATCACTTGAGAAAATGATCATCAGATTAATCCAAATGACAATAATCCTTAGTTATAGTCCTACTTTGACTTATTCCTGAGTAAATCAGGCCTCACATGTTCCATGACTGTGATTCTTGCAGAAGATGCCGGGCCTGTTGTTTTGTCCTTCACTATGAGAGGGGAAGTAAGACCTACCCTCGATAACCCCACACTTCCTGTGCCTCGGGATTTAATACCTCTGCTGTTTGCCAAAGCGCTTGTCTCCAACGAAAAACACAGATTCCAAGTGTGTGCGTGGGTGGGGGTGGGGCAAAGTGGAGGGAGGAACATTATTTTAAAGCAAACAGTAGAAGAAAAAAAAAACAGTGGGCAACAAAACCCAAAGGAAGGAACAGCAGGAGAGAAGGGGAGGTGAGAGGAGATGGGGTTATTATCAGATGAATGACACTGAAACTCAAAGAGAAAGTGAAAGAAAACAGACTGACAGTAAAAATCTTGAAAATGAGAAGGGTGGTGAAATGTGAAACGAGAAAGTGTGGTGGCCGGAGAGGCCAGGGAGGCCGAGCAGAAGAAGTGCATAGTGGAGAGATAGAGCTACGGGAGGTGAAGTGCAGGAGAGACCCGCTGAGTTCCTGGAATGTGGGTCCGTCCATAGGGAGGCTGTTTGTAAAGGGACATTTGTGGGTTACTACAGCATGTGTGTGTTTTCACTGGTGTGGTATTATTGTGTGGATCTGGTGCGACTGAGCGGTGGTGGTGTTTGGGCTCGTAGATGTCCCTCGGATTAGCGAAGGTGGAAAAGTCACGTTTCTCCCTGTGCACAGACAACACGTACATGTGTGATAGAAGAGGGGGATGGGGTCTCTGGACAAACCTACAGTGGCCAAAAGAGCTCAAAACACTGCAGATGCACAACAGTAAAACAGCAGAAAAGGACATTTTGCCAATCTGACATCATTTAGAGAAATGTGCTGCAAATACAAAATCGCACAACTGAAAATACAGAACATGCTATGAGTACAGAAGCTCCAAATAATCTGCAAAATTGTAAAATGTTCCACAGCTAGAGAAAGATAATCAAATATAAAAACGTAAACTCAGAAAACTACCACACAGAGAAATGCTGCAAGTCACCCAAAATGCAACTCGTAACAAAGGTGTTTTCCAGAATAGCAAGTGGAGATGATACTACTGCAGATATTTCCTCTGCACCAACAGTGACCTTTCACTAAGTACACAGTTAGTGCCTTGGCATGGGACAAAGGCTTTAGCACAGGAAAGCCCAGCTCTAACATGTGTTTCTTTACAGATGCACTGTGGTGAGCACTAGGGGCTGCTGGAGAAACTGACTAGTGAAGGAGAAGGAGCGAGCCTTGCCTTCCATTTGGTGATAGAGGAGAACTGGACAGACTGCTCAGTGAACCTGCTTCAACCTCACACAGACATTTGTCTGAGAGGTGGAATAACCCAGGGCAGATGGAAGGAACCTCTCTCATGTCGGGTGTGAATGCCATAGGTCTTCTCAATGCTGACAGGTACTGGAACAAATCTTCCTCCGTGGCACAGAATCCAGGGCACAGACAAAAGCCTCCATGCCCCAGACAGGCTGATTAACAGCTCGCTATTGTAAGTTCGCCACTGCCACATGACTCCACTCCAGCATTCAGTCATCAGCCATCAACCAGTCCAGTGGGTGAGGACTCAGTGCATGTGGCAGCAGCATGCACACTATTCTGTCTGGAGACTTACTGAGAGACTCACATGGAGGAAGCAGAGGTCACGGGTCATGATCCGTCTCCCCTCTGAGGAGGCCATGACAGCGCCTCAAGTTCGGTCAGGCGGGGGTTGGCCGGGGGGCAGCCTGCCACAGCCTGTCACATGCAGTAACACTCACTCATTCTTCCACTTTTACAGAAGGTGACACACAGAAACAGTAAAACTAAATGTGGAAGCCTCCTTTTAAAGAGCAGGTTCAACCATTTTCCTCTGATCAGAAGCCAAGAAACACAATCAAGACATTGCTACTTCTAAATTAACAGAAGCTCTGCCCAACCTGCTGCTTTTACAACAGTACTCACCCTCTCCTTCTACTTTGTCTGGATTTCGGCTCCACACTATCTGCCGGGTGTCCTGCCTTATCTGGAACGTTCTCCTCTCGGGCCGCTGGGATTTCTTCTGGTAGAAAACAGTCATCACTGTGCCCATCTCCAGGCTGTGGAGGATGCGGGGACCTGCCTCTGTCCAGTCCAGCATCCGGGAGGCCATGACAGAGCCGGGGGCCCCTGCAGCGCCACCAGCGGCCTCTTCAGCACAGCCATTGAGGCAGCCACTGAACCTGGCCGCACACATTTTCACTGCATAGCTACAGGGAAACTTTGCAGGAGTCTGTTGTGATTTCTTGAAGAGGATGTTTGTCCCTTAATCACCTACTGAGTGCACAGAGAGCCACAGTTATCCAACATGTCCAAACTCACTGGTGCATGGAGGAAATCTGGTTAAGAGCCCAAACTGAGCCTCTCGGGGCAGGCAGGGGCTTTCAATGCCAGTGTGACTGAACAGAATTCACGTTAAAACACAAGCTACAAGACCACTCAGCAGCCACAGAGCTGTAGCATTGAAAAGTCTGAGATGTGAATTATTCTCTGGTCCTCTGGAGGGGGAGTGCATCTCTGGGTTATCTTTTCCAGATGCTTCTGGCAGCACACCAGCAAAATCCACTCGGGGTGAGTTCTCACCGCCGCTGGGCTCAGGTTTCCACCATTTATGTGTCCTCCTGCTAGTCTTCGGTCCACGACAGCAAAAAGCAGCACAGTCGAGCTTAAAATCGTGCCTGGACCGCCGCTGCGGCCGCGTCGTCTGCTGCTGGGGCGGTAAACAAGATGCGGTTATCCCCACTCTCTGCTTTGGGAGGGCGAAGTCAGTGCAAGCGACAAAGACGCCGAGTTATGTAATGACAAATACCCGGAGTTGGGAGCAAGAGAGGACTGGCATCGGCGGGCGGTCTGTGGCGACTTCACGGAGACGGAGACACGCGCGGACGCGGCGAGAACCGTGTGCGCTTCCATCCGCCTCATCATTCTGCTCTCCCCTCACACACTGCACCGTCGAAAGGCTGCATGATCCCACTGAACATGAGCCTGTTCACAGTAAGCGTCCAGACTTGCGCTGCTCCGCGTTAAATGCCCGTTTCTCCTCGCTGCTCCTCGACCAGGATCTCTCCCTCTGTGCCTGCGCGTCCCCTCAGCTCCAACGCCAGAAGTCTTGAGAGGAAATTAGATCTAGCAGACCGGAAAAGCTTGTTCAGATTTTCCCCCCGTCTGCGCTGCTGTAGTATCTGAGGGAAGACGAGGGGAGTGGAGAGTCTCAGCACTGAGCCAGAGACGGACAGGAGGCGGAGAGCAGAGCGACCTCCGCGGGCCTCCGGGAGATCTGCAGCAGCTACGGAGGGCGGAACAGCACAGGAGTTTTTCTGTTTGCACTGAAACACGTTTGACACCGCGGGGTCAGGTCAATAGGTCAAGTGGGGTTCAGTTTGCAGAGGTCACTGGCATCAGCAGCTGAGGCAGTAAATCCCGTTTCAAGTGGCAGGTGATCTGAGAACAAGTGCTTTTCCTTTCGGTGTTTCCAGGACGAGAATAGCGTTTTAATTTTTATTTTACCTACTTGTCTTTTGTCATGAAGGAGCCGATAGAAACCTGAACTTGGCACAGCCCCTTCTCACCCATTACGCTCATTTTATTTATATTTTTGCGGCTTCCTACACGTTAATGTGAATTAAATTTAAAAGGTTGTCAACAACATAAATAATAAATACTAATATTTGCAAATGTTTTTGCACCTCAGACAAATTCAATAGCTTCTTCAAAATAAAGTGAAAATAAATTTGCAACCAAACTTTGAGACATGCCATAATTACATTAGTTTAATTGTATTTATTTTTTAAGTTAGTAAAATATAATGAAACTGTAAATTTGCATAAACACGCATTTGCTGAAGTGGTCATATTTCTCTGTAAGGTGGCACTTTTTATTCCCTGCGCTTTACTGTCTTTGTGCTTCCACAGCACCGACGGACCAGGATTTTGTTCCCCCATATAAGAGACATGAACAAAGTGAAAAGTTCAGATTTACGCAATTCATAATTCAACTCGAGGTTCACTTACTTCTTCCCCAGCAAACACAGTTAATTGAGCTTTAACTGACAAACAGATGTGCCATCAAATGTAGCTGAAGCTTAAGAAGCAGCTGAGAGATCTGGAGTTTACGGTCTGATAAATTTTTTTCCCCATCAAACTATTTTTTATCAGGGGTTTCACCTGATTGTTGAGCGTAGGAAGTGCTGCTGACTGTGCTGGACATTTCACACACATCATTTTAAACGGTTTGGCAGTTTCCTGAAGAAATCATCAAAACAACAGTTTCCAGTGAAAAACGATCTATTTAGTTAGACAGATGATTTGATGTGGTATGTCTGGGTCTGCCCCTGCTGGGCTTTTCACAGAATCAGTCCTCCTTCGAATCTGTTCACTTTAAAGCCTTTTGACAGGCGGCAGATCTGCATGACAAAGGCCACAGTACAACTGTGTGTTCCTGTTGACACTGTCAGGGTTCACTGGGACCAGGCTCTACAAACATGTGCGCTGAGACACTTTAGAAAATAGTTTCAATAGCAGAACAGCTGTGGAGGATTATTATTAGTTGGCTAGGACACAGTTGCTGTCGTCGCTGCTGCCTCTCTGGATCTCAGCGACCAGATTCTGGAGTCTGTCTGACAGCGCCACCTGATGAGAGAGAAGCCCACAGACTGGGTGTAGAAATCTTTCAGCTTGTGAGAGTAAGCTTTTGTGTCTTTGAGAAGGCCTGAATGTTCTGGATCTTGACTGAGACTCACTGTGTAAGAGTCTGGCTCCTGCAGCCTCTTGTGTCGAGGGTGCAGAGTCTGGAGGGAGCTCTGGACCTTTGCTCTAGTTTCTGCAGCGCTGCATAGAGGCTGTGTGACCTAGAAAATGTGGGAGACACATTCATAAAGACAAAACCACTCCACACTGCTGTCTCCAAAAACATACTCTGACAAAATAATTAGCAGCTTTGTGTTTTTATTAAGTTGAATTCTTTGTGGTTTTTAAGGCATATAGATGTTATTGGAATCTTTGTGATTAAAAACTGTTTTAGGTGCTGTGCACACAAACCTATTAAGTCTTTCTGTACAGTATTGTTCAAAATAATAGCAGTACAATGTGACTAACCAGAATAATCCAGGTTTTTAGTATATTTTTTATTGCTACATGGCAAACAAGTTACCAGTAGGTGCAGTAGATTCTCAGAAAGCAAACAAGACCCAGCATTCATGATATGCACGCTCTTAAGGCTGTGAAATTGGGCAATTAGTTGAAAGGGGTGTGTTCAAAAAAATAGCAGTGTCTGCCGTTGACTGTACAAACACAAAACTATGTTGTACAAACGTTTTTGTTTCTAGGATTTAGCAATCCTGTGAATCACTAAACTAATATTTAGTTGTATGACCACAGTTTGTTATAACTGCTTCACATCTGTGTGGCATGGAGTCAACCAACTTGTGGCACCTTTCAGCTGTTATTACACTCCATGATTCTTTAACAACATTCCACAATTCATTTACATTTCTTGGTTTTGCTTCAGAAACAGCATTTTTGATATCACCCCACAAGTTCTCGATTGGATTAAGGTCCGGGGATTGGGCTGGCCACTCCATAACATTAATTTTGTTGGTTTGGAACCAAGACTTTGCTCGTTTACTAGTGTGTGTTAGGTTATTTCTTAGTTAGATAGATCTTCAGAGATTTGTTGTCTAGAAATGTTTAGTGGAGACTAAACATGGACTGTTAGTGTCAACTGTAATGCTAGTCTTAATATTTGTCTTAATGTGTAATGTCATGTCAAATTGTTCTAGATACACACCACAAAAACAACAGCCACACACCTTGACTTTTCCTCATGTTTTGGCTAACGTTATAGTCAGCTGCAAGCTGGCATATCAGGTGACGTCAGGGTTTGACGCCCTGTGTAGCATGGGCTAGCCCAAAATGATTAAATTATATAGGTTTCTTGGTCCAGGCTCGGATCATCTTTCCAAGCTGCCTGCCTAGGTCCGGGGATTGGGCTGGCCACTCCATAACATTAATTTTGTTGGTTTGGAACCAAGACTTTGCTCGTTTACTAGTGTGTTTGGGGTCATTGTCTTGTTGAAACAACCATTTCAAGGGCATGTCCTCTTCAGCATAAGGCAACATGACCTCTTCAAGTATTTTGACATATGCAAACTGATCCATGATCCCTGGTATGCGATAAATAGGCCCAACACCATAGTAGGAGAAACATGCCCATATCATGATGCTTGCACCACCATGCTTCACTGTCTTCACTGTGTACTGTGGCTTGAATTCAGAGTTTGGGGGTCGTCTCACAAACTGTCTGTGGCCCTTGGACCCAAAAAGAACAATTTTACTCTCATCAGTCCACAAAATGTTCCTCCATTTCTCTTTAGGCCAGTTGATGTGTTCTTTGGCAAATTGTAACCTCTTCTGCACGTGCCTTTTTTTTTAACAGAGGGACTTTGCGGGGGATTCTTGAAAATAGATTAGCTTCACACAGACGTCTTCTAACTGTCACAGTACTTACAGGTAACTCCAGACTGTCTTTGATCATCCTGGAGCTGATCATTGGCTGGGCCTTTGCCATTCTGGTTATTCTTCGATCCATTTTGATGGTTGTCTTCCGTTTTCTTCCACGTCTCTCTGGTTTTGCTCTCCATTTTAAGGCATTGGAGATCATTTTAGCTGAACAGCCTATAATTTTTTGCACCTCTTTATAGGTTTTCCCCTCTCCAATCAACTTTTTAATCAAAGTACGCTGTTCTTCTGAACAATGTCTTGAACGACGCATTTTCCTCAGGCTTTCAAATGCATGTTTAACAAGTGCTGGCTTCATCCTTAAATAGGGGCCACCTGATTCACACCTGTTATTTCACAAAATTGATGACCTCACTGATTGAATGCCACACTGCTATTTTTTTGAACACACCCCTTTCAACTAATTGCCCAATTGCACAGCCTTAAGAGCGTGCATATCATGAATGCTGGGTCTTGTTTGCTTTCTGAGAATCTACTGCACCTACTGGTAACTTGTTTGCCATGTAGCAATAAAAAAATATACTAAAAACCTGGATTATTCTGGTTAGTCACATTGTACTGCTATTATTTTGAACAATACTGTACATGTTTCTGTACTGTACTGCTGCCTTTTGGATACCACGAAGCTCCTGTTTGATCCTTTATTGCCTTTAATTGGGTGCATTTGGTGTAATTACAAAAGAAACAATCTTCCTCCAACCTGCAGTGACAGCTTCTATTCCTACATTTCCCACAATTCCTTTGGAAACCCTTTTTAAATGTAGAAGAAGAGACAGTTCCTAAATCCAAATTGTAGACTTTATGGGAGTCTGGAGTGTCTGCAGCTGTGCAAGTCATCAAGTTCACAAGTGGGTGTGTAGACTTCTCCAGACTTTGCCGAGAAGATAATCAAAAAGAAATAACACACTGTACAGGAGATAGAAAGGAAACTACCACCACAACAAGAATCCCAAAAAGCTGTAACAGTCTGCCATCGTGGGGTTGTGTTGTGATGAGTGCAGGCACAGTCCGCCCTCACCTGTCCTTTGACAAACATCTCCTGGCACAGAGAGATGACCTGAGCTGGAGTGACTGACACGGCGGAGTTATCACACCCCAGGGGGTAACAGCTCAGCGGGACTCCTGCCTCTGGAGGAGTCTCCATCGCCAGACTCACCAGGTCCAGGAAAGGGTGTCCTGCAGGGGAAGAGAGGGTGGGAGGCTGTGGACTAGTTTACTGGGACACTAGCGAGGCTGCGATGCTCATTACACACCGGGAGGCCAAAGAAGTGGACGGATGTAAATGAAAAGAATAAACTTCATTTTGTAGTAGTCTTTCTATTGCTTATTGCTTGTTAATGTAACTCTATTTATATCTTAGGAGCAGTCTTTGTTGAGCTTCAGACTGATTCTCACCCTCAGCGTCTAACAGCCGGTACACGGCTTTCCTCCCAGGTACGGTGCTTTTCTCTGGGTCTTCACTGATCTTCATCCTGGGCCTCCCCCTCACCTCCACCAACTAACACAACAATAACACCATACAAATGTGGCAACAAGAGAAGAAATGAGTTCAGTGGATCTGGGCAGACTATGGAGCGCTCGTCTGTACGTGTGCTGTTTGTGGCTATGGCGTTACCTTGTACACACAGCCCAGTGAGGGCTGCTTTGTGCAGGTGACCAGATGCGTTCCAACACCGACCACGTCGATCTCGTTCTCCTGAAACAGTCGCATACGGACCATCATGGTCAAGAAGGGAGGAAAGATTAGAGATCATAAGATTAGTTCTCATTACCTTCCAGCTGAGTTCAGCCATGCTTTGCTCTGAAATGTTATTGGTCCCAACGATGATCAGTGAGCCAAAAGCTGGGATGGAGAAACTGTAGAGATAAAGTGAAATGAGCCAAAAAGGAAAACAAGATGTACTACAGACTTCTGGAGGAGTGAAATCCACTTTCATAATGATGCACACGTGTTGCACGGCGCCTCACTCACTGCTCGCTGCAGCATCTGAAGACACAGCGGACATCGACCGACTGCCTGCAGAGGTCCCCGCTGTCCAGACGGACCCCCACAGGCTTGTAGCCCAGTTCACACAGTGCCAAGGCCACAGCGCAGAAGTTCAACAGGCCACTACTGAAGTCAGATAAACACACACATATTAGATCAGAAGAGCCTGGAACCCAAACTGAAGTGACTCTGAGACAAGCAGAAGCACTCAGTTCCCAGTGCCAGCAACATCAACAGGTCCCATTTATATCAGTGTATGCTAAAATAAAAGTACTGCAAATCAAAGTATGATCATGTACCTTTGTTACAGCACAACAATAAGACAGAAGCATGCTTTACTAACGCAGCAGTGCTACTCACTAGGCTGTTTGTTGTTTTTTGTTCTATTTATCTTATATACAACATTAAAATGCTGCTTAGGCATAACTGTCAATAATAATAAGATATACTTCTGATACTACTGATACATTGTACTGATAATACTTATATAATTTTACTTGAGTAAAATTTTAAATGCAAATGAGTAGTTTAGTATTTTTGCTCTGTAATATTACTATATGTACTCGAATCAGAGGGATCTGCACCCTGCTTCCACCGATGGACTCAAATGAAAAAAGGGCCTTAATGTGTTGAGATCAGTTGGGCAGTTAAACTGCTTCTGGTGCTGCCAACTTTAATATACAATGGCGCTTCATGTAAAGGTTCAAAGAAAGGTGCCGTGCGTGCTCTGTCTCGTACCAGCTGACACTGTAGCTGTCAATCACAGGGAGGAAGTTCTGAGGGTAGGCGATGGCGTAGGACAAGAAGGCTGCCAGCTCGCCCTCTCTGACCTTGCCAGACTCTGCTCCCAGGAGCTCGCACACACGACTCAACCAGCCCTTTGTCAACGAGATGAAGTCGACAAGGTCCCCGTTCGCTGCTACAACAGTCTGATTGGAAGCATAACACAGGGACAAATTATCACCTTTTCAAGCCTAGGTGGACATTTCCAGTTGCGTCATTTGTCCAGCCAACAGTCAAAACCCAAGATTCTCAGCTTAATATCATGTAAGACAAAGAACAACAGTACATGTTTACATTTAAGAAGCATAAACCCTTAAAATGTTTGGCATTGTTGCTTATCAAAACAAACAGATTAAAAAGCCCAGACTTGCGTAGTAAATCACTAACCTGGATCTGCCTGACCTTTCAAAACCCGTCCAGTCAGATCACAGAAGGCTCTGGGTTTTCAGATGCATTCAATCAGTGTAACTTAAAACACACGTTTGCTTTTCTTTAGCATTAACCAAATTCTCAGTCTTATACAAGTCTACAGGCAATACAGTTAGCTAAACTGCGTAGGCTGACGAAACCTTTTGATGGATGCATATCACTGAACTGTATTCACCAGGCTGCACAGCTGTAGGCGAAGGAATGCTGGGAACTGGACCTAGCGCTCACCGTGCGTCGTCCCTGTGATATCCGTGCTCCAATAACAACACACCAACATAATTAATAAGGAAATTAAAATGATATAATGTTCACTGTGATGGATGAAAGCAGGCCACGAACCTATGGTATGCTCTGGATAATGACTCACAACAAACGCACCGGTCGATGATCTGAGCAGAGAATGGACGCTCACCTGCGGCCGCACTTCCTCCAGGGAGGTAAAGGAAGTGATGTACGAGTGTGCCATGGTTCCTGCGACAGGGATCCCAAACAGGAATCCAGCCTGAACGTTACTGGTGAAGTCAAACCCTGCATCGAGACAGTTTCCAGCATCACTCAGCATCATCACGATGCAACGTCAGTGCAACATATCTGCTCTTGTTCAATTGTTGTTATGTGTTACTATACAGAGAAACTCCTGTTCTTTCATCATGTGGTTCTTCACCAATCAGAAAAATGTCCCTTTTCTTCACCCATGTCTGTGATTCACTGGAGACACACTGTGCAGAACAGTCTAAGAAAGGGGGTAGGACTAGATAAGTGTATACTTCTTCCTACTCCCTTTCAAGCATGTACCATTGGAATGTTGTGATGTCTTATGCGTATTTGTTGAAATGTCTAATCAATTTTGTTTTTCGCAATATCAATTTTCTTAGTTTTACATGCTTGGAAGAAACTTAAATAAAATAAAAAAAATAAAATAAAAAAATTCATTCTACCTGTCAGGTCCATGTGCCTCCGTTTACTAAGACTTTCTACATCTCTGTGTGTTTGGTTGGAGAAGGAAGCTGAGAGAGGGACTCACCACACACCCTTGTCTAGAAAGTTACACATCAGGCTGTTTATCGATTCTTCACTACTGTTTCAAACGCATTTAAACGTCCTACTTGTAGCCAACAAAACCACAAATGTGGAGGAAAACTGTAGAGAATTTTGACATTACAGCTGTTTGAACATGCTTAACAGATGGCACAACATTCACCTCCTATGTATGTGTAACGTGAGGCAGTGAGGCCTCCATCTGGCCCCTGAGCCCTCCTGAGGCCCATCTCCAGCAGCTTCCTCCTGGGGCCGGCTGCCAGGCGGAAGCGGGCAGCATTACTGCACACCAGACTGACAGCAGAGAAGAAGAATAACAGGCGGGTTAATGTCTTCAGAAAGTAGAGTCAAACGTTTGTTTTTTCTGGGTGATGGTGGCAGCCACCTTAAAATAGAGGGAACTTAAAAATACAGAGGTCATAGACTCAGCAGGGGATGGAAATGGAGGTAGGGCTACAATGAGCTATACTCCTTTTTAATATTTGATTTGGTTATTTAACTCTTGTGTGTGAATTCTTAAATCTGACAGAATGTAAATGACAGTTCATTCACTTCCTGAATTCGCTTCTAAAACTCATTAAGTTGACTTTACACGCTCAGCAACAGCATCACATGTAGTGACCATTTCTGCTGTTTCCAACAATAAACTGATGCTTTATTTAGACAAAATGAGTCACATATTTTATGGTCACACTAACTCATGATACACACATTTTCCAGATGTCCATACACATTTCTTCACATCTCAACCTGAAAACAGTCAGTATCAGTATTTTTGGATAGCTTTGCAAAAGGCCTGAGGGTGAAGCTAGCAGAGTTAGACATGTTACTAAATTTAAAAATATTAGATTACCAGGAACGGACATGGCCTCAGTGACCTCAACAGGAGCTGTGTGCCTTGAAACACCAAATATTCACTTCTGAGATTATTCTTCTCTTTATCACTTAGTCAACCAAAAAATTTGAATAGTGACAACAGTTTGGATAATCTATTACTTTAAGTCATTCATCAAGTAAAAACGCCAAACTCAGCTGGTTCCAGCTTTTCAAATGTAAGGATTTGCTGCATCTTTCTGTATGATATCACTGCAAATTGATATGTTTGGTTTTTGACTCAGCTTTTTCATCTTGTAAAGATTATTTTTATAACACAGGTAGTGCATTGAGACTGGAAATGTCACAGTTACTGTATGTCTGCATCATCAGCCACTGAATCGCTAGGATTAAAAACACATAAGTGAATGAGGAAAAACAATAGGATACTCAATAGTAAATGTAATTAGTTACAGTCCTATACATACAATATATGTAGCATATACATAGTAATGGTTTAATACTGATATGTCAGCACTGGCTCTTACCTGGCATAGTTCACCAGACACAGCAAACTGGTCTCGAGCAGCTGCACCACAGCCAGTGGACCTGCCACCTCCATCAGAGGCACCTGCAGATGGTTTAGACATGCAGCACAAGTCAGGCCCTGACAGTGACCTCTGACCCTTAGTTTCACTCTGCAGCTCTGCAGCTCTGCAGCTCACCCTGGCAAACACCACAGTGCCCTCTGGGATGCAGCGGAGCGTGACACCCGAACAGTCCAGGTCTCGCAGGAACTGGAAAAAGGCAGGGTCGGTGGCCGGGGGCAGGACCGAGCGCAGGAACTCCACATCTGGTGCCACAAAACACAAACTTGGCAAAACAGCTGGAACATTGTAACACCAACAACACAACATCCTTCATCCTAAAACTTCATGTGCCACACACACAAGTACAGTGATAGTTTAATCTAGTAACTTCCTGTACTGTTAATCTGTTAATAAACTGCTACTGAAACGCTTCAGTGGCAGGACTATTATGAACCATGGAAGTTAGACTAAACCACGTTTGACAGCTTTATAGCAATAAGGAACTACGTACTTTACTTACACACTATTTATTCGGAGAATTTTATGATACATTAAATTGTACTCTACCAGAAGTACCGAGTTCCCTTATTTAGTTAAATTTATTTAAATGCATGATTTTAATGTGAATTATAACGTGTTCACTGAAAACTCTTTGGTACTTGTACTTGTGTTAAAATTCGGCTGTAGTTTTAATGTGTAACTGAGAATGTCTATACTGTGGTATTTCTACTTAACTGAATCTTTCATTCACCGCTGGCTACCTGAAGCTTTAAGGCTGTGACAGCACGTCGCCAGTGGTGTCACACGGCAAACAATTCATAAAGTACTGAACTAAAGAGAGAAAACCTACTTTTAAAATAGTTTTATAAATAACTTTGAACAGCATCCCAGTGAACCTGAAGCCGTAGTAAGAGCAGACTTGGCACAGGAGGACAGACAGAGGAGCGCAGGACGATCTTGTCATGCGCTGTAACGCGCTGCTTCTTCAGCTCACGTCAACGTTTGGATTAGGCTCCAAGCTATAAGTCAGAGTTCACTGAAATACAACACCCGGGTTTCCTCACTGAAAGCGGGGTCGCACGAATGGCGAGGTATTGCGCAACCGGAACGGCATGCGTAACTAGTAGACTGGAGCAAAGAAAAGTCACTTGAACATTCATTCGATTTAGTTAATAGCTCCTGTTTTCATAGTAAAGATGCAAATAACGAAGTGCTGTCATTTTCCCACCTTCTTCTGTGAAGCGAAAGCTGCGCAGGAACAGCAGGCAGTCGTCCAAGCCGGCGAGCAGCGAGAACCCGCCGTCGAACGGGTTGTCCCTGAAGAAGATCTCGAACACTGCGTGCTCCTGGTGCCGACCGGCCCGCCAGTACGCGTACGCCATTGTGAACTGGTACAGGTCGGTCAGTAACGGGGGGACCCGCTCCCGGAAAGAGCGCTCCGTAACATTGCATGTACTGCGGGACGGCGCTGCCATGTCTCTTGAATACACTGATACGGAGATCTCTGGGACTTGCAGTTCTCGAAGCGCCACTGGTTCGTTCACCTTCTATGCCAGAAACCGAGCGGAGCCTCTGACAATACCCCGAGGCAGGGCGTCATGAATGTTGGCAAGTAGGCTGCAATTCCACCGAGCAGATACTGTATGTTCCTGTTGAGTATGTAACTACTCATAATATAATCCATCGTGGCTGCTCGATCTTTTTCTGACCATTACTTGTTCAGGCTCAGAAGTGCCACTTAGGTCATGAGCTTTTACACAACAACTTAAATTGACGGCATCAGTGTTTTGATCTTTCCCAAGACCAGTCAAAGATGCTGCCTTGTGATGTCCAGACGGATCCGGCCACCAAGTACTCAGTTCTCTTACAATGCACAATCCCAAAACACCCCTGGTACAAATCCTGTAAATGTGTTACAGGGGAGCACTTTAATGTTGCAGCTGGTCTGTGTTGGTTTACTGTTGGTAAGTTTAAACTACACACATGCTCACAGCATCACATCTGCTGAGCTACTACATGTAACCTGCATCTGAAAAGTAACACGTCATATAAATATAATGGAGTAAAAGTACAACGTTTCTGTAATGTGACAGTGGGAAAAATTACAATACTCAAGTAACAAGTATATGAAACTTGAGTAAATGTACTTCAATCTCTGTATATGGTGGTGGTGGGGTCATAAAACAGAAAATCCATTCAGAGACTCCTTTATTCAACACAGAACCGGGCTAGGACTTCAGCAGTACACTTGAAACTGTTGTCACGATGTCGTTGCCCAAACATATTTCAGTTTGCAGAAAATTTCCCAGTGTTATACATAATTCATATGAATATGTTTTTTGTTCAAATGTTGTACTTCATACATATGTCAATTTGTAGATATAATACTGTATATTTTCTGCAGCTAATGTAAGGTTTGATAAACCAACCACTGTAGATGATTTTATAAATGACAAAGTTTTTTTATGCATTATACTGGATACAGTTTTTCACTATTTGATATTTGTCCATCTGTAGCTAATGTGCCAAGTAACAGCTGAGTTGTTAAAATAACCATAACAGTAGGATTTTCTCGTATCATCACTTTTCTCTTTAAATGTGAAGATGCCAGGCCGAGCTAAAGACGACTAGACAGACTCGTGGGAGTGCTGTTAGTGCCGTGTTCCACTTGACGTGTCACACTATTAAAAACACTGCAGGTTGGATGGGAACCAATGATTTAAGCTATGAAATCTGCATCAAACACTCTGGATTATCATAAATATGTCAACCCACTTCTCACACGTCACATTAGTTAAATGGACATGACTTCCCAGGGATCTTCCAGTAACACACTGACATCACAACTGTGGGACAGTATGTGTTTTCCCCACTGCCAGTATGAAATGCTGATGGTATGTGGACATTTCACAGGTCAGCAAAAACTTGTTCTGGTCATGTTTCCAGTTCTCCCTGCTGCCTGCTGCCTTGGTCTGCTGGGCGGAAGCATCTTGCAAGCTCATTGGTCAGTGCGTGCTCTTGTCCTTTCCAGAGAAAGTGTGTAGGCTGCCCTGACTGGCCCTGCTCCGCTGCATAAACGAAGAAGGGGCTAAACTCGATGGCCAGAGCTGACCTGATCAGGCCGACACCCCCTAAGCGCTCAGAGCCGGGGTGGTAAACCCGCCCGCTGATGGGATGCATGTACAGAGCCTCGGGGCGGAACGGGACAGACAGCTTCTCCGCCGCACCGCAGTACGACAGCAGCTCCTGGTCTCCCATGACCCCCCTCAGCCCTGCAGGGCTCTGTAGCAGGTGGGTGAAGACTACAGGTCGGTCATCGCAGCGCAGGAAGTTCCTCTCACGGCCACACAGGGACAAGAAGGGGAAGTCCTCCTCATAACGGCCACTCTGATTTGGACGCAGACGACTGAAGAAGAAGACCAGGAACTGTTTATCTGATGATGAAGGAACAGATGAAGGACAGCTGCTGAGTAAAACCAACCATGATCTGGCCATGAGAAGTGAGTCAGATGTGAAACACACCAAAGGCATCAGCAGTGGCCTCACAATAAAAACCCCTAGTCGGTGAATTTAAATACTTGAAATGATCCCAAATATATGAAAATGTGTATAAATAATTCCCCCAGAGCCACAATTGGGCATTTTTACTATTATAAGATAACTACTGTATGCAAAGCTAGAATCAAACGTAACTATTTTACTATTGTTTCAAAGACAAAGCTGAACAAACCTCACTAACATTAGGACCCGATGTGAGTTTGCAGTTTTACCTTTGAAGCAGGTGACAAAGTTCTTCACTTTAGTGTCGTCGAGGAAAAGCTGGAAGCAGAGCACGTGAACACGTCAGGCCAGCAGAATCATTTATACCATATGTTTGAGGTTATTGTTCCGTGTCAGTGCTCGCACTCACCTGTCCTTGATGGTCCATATAGTAGAAGTACTCTCGAATGCGTGGCTCGGGGCTCTGGCCCTGGATGTACGTAGCGGCGGCTCTGGGGGCGATGCAGCCGGCGGGCAGACAGCGCACAGCGGTCAAAGCTTTGCAGCTGAGAGCCACAGTCCGGAGCAACAACATGACCACAAGATTCAACAAGGGAACAAAAAAGAGTATCGAAATTATAACCAGTGTGTTTACCTGGAATTTCTGTTGCTAGAAAACAACTTAACCTTTGCCATCATGTTATTGTTTACAGCTGCAGAGCTGCAACCCGGAAGACTTTAACTCTTGCAACATGGTCATTTTTGACTGCTGCCCCCTGGTGGACACGGGTGATATTTTAAACTACTTAGATTACAATAATGACAATAGTCAGGACTTAGTAGAATTTCAGTAAAACATTTACAAATGTACAACAGACTGGATGGTTGGCGATCTTTAAAATACAACCGACAATAATAATACAAAGGTTACCTGACTGCATTTTACTGGTTTTATTGGCCTTTTACAAGTACTTACACTGGTACAAAAGTACTGGATGGCTGACAGTCTTTAAACTATAGCCCATAAGAGTAATATAAAGGTAATCTGAGACAGAAACCCCCTTCCTGTGGGTAGGATATTAGCTTTATACACTTTTCGACAAAGAAAAAAAGAGAGTGAAGTCGACTCCAGAGGAGATGGAGGGTACAGGTGAGCATGAACGCTTTGGAAAATTACATTGTGATTTCAAATTTAACGTTCAAAGTAACCTGCAAAACAGTTTAAAATATTCCTACAACTGTGATCAGAGTGTTTAACCTTTAAAACATAAGGTCACTGACTTTGTATTGTGGTGCTGGGAGGCAGGAGAGACTGTTGGCGATAATGCCCCCTGGGGTGGGATGTACTGTATAGAGTTTGGGGTTTTGGAGGGGTTCTCTGTGTGTGTATGTGTGTTGTTCTGTTGTTGCTGTGCAGCTGTGAGAAGGGAAAAATAAAATAGAAAAGACAAGCTTTGTTCTCCGGCTCCTTGCTCCAGCTAGTCGATGATACAGCATGTTATTGTCCACAGAGACTAGCAGCAACAATAAATGAACAATAAAAAGCTTATTGGCTGTACCGTTTAGATTTATCCTAATTACGTCAATCCAGTTCTTATTCTATTTTAATTCTACTTTATTCTATTTTAGTTCCTAAATGTTATAGCACCCAATACTAGGTGAGAGAGAAACGGTATTTCGGCTTTCTGTATGTCCTGCACATATAGTGAATTGACAATAGAATCCTTCAACCTCGAAATGTGGTGTACTCACTGAAATGTGTGTGAAGCCACAAATTAATTTAACTCACCAGTCTGTGCCTGTAGTGAACCAAAGTAAGATGTAGTTCCCCTTTTGTACGTGATTCATGGCATTACTCACATTCCACACAGTGCATAGCTACAGCCCGTCCTTCCAACAGTCTTGGAAGCTGTACTGTTTTTGTTGGTAAAAATTGGTCTGAGCAAGGCTTTACATCTGGAAGGAGTCTTTTATGGTGTAAAACAGCTGACTTTAGGTGACTCTAAATGACAAAAGAAAAGAACCCAGATAGAAAATAGTAAACACAGAATGTCTCACTAAAGACTTACTTTCTAGTTGAAGGTTTTACTGGATAGGGCACTGGCTGAGACCTGTTTGGATATTAATCTTGTTAGATACTGACAGATGTTCTCCCAAAGCAGAGGACTCCATTGGGTTTTGCCTGATACAGTTATGTTGGCTTCCTTGCACCTTCTCATGAAAACCTCTTCCAGGTGCCCTCTGCTTGTCAACACACCCCTTCACTTTGCTTTCTGTGCTGTTAGATTTTAACACAGTAAGGTTACAGTAATCAAAAATATATATATTCATTTAGTTATTAAAGACAAATTGTTTAAAAAAAGATCTTATTTCCACAGTTAAACACTTTTTAAATTCAAACAACAATCTAAAACCAAAAGATACTCAGATATGACAGAGTAACACTCTGTGGAGAAGCTACTAACATGATTTTTTGTTAGTTAAGCATGTTGTGCTTTTCACTGCACTACATTTGCAGACAATTGTATTGATAGTTTATTGTGCAGATTATTATTTAACAAACAGAACACGATGAGATTAGAAGACTGATTTGTTACAGATTAAACCTCCTCCAGGTAGGGTGGGGTTGTTTCGGTCTGCTGACACAACAGGAGGTTTAGGATTCAACAATGACGTCGTAGTTCTCAGAGCGCTGTGGTCGACGTTCACTTCACAGTAAGTTTAACGTTAACTTTGGCAGCTGACGGCGGGATTTATCGAACTAGTTCTAACTCATTTGAACCAGCTAACGTGTCCTACAACCCACGATGTGTCGCTTCTGTGTTTGCCGAGTTCAGAAGCTACACACCTGCTCCACGGTTGTTTGACACGATAAGACGTTTCACTGTGAAGCAAAATATCTGTTCGTGTTTCATCGATGATACTTTGAGGATAGTGTCTTATGTTGACGTTTTTAGATGTTCTGACGTAAAATACGTCACCGACCGTCAAGTCTTTGTTCAGATAAACCTATTTTGTCTAGAAAATAAGGTTTAAAGTAAACTAAATGGTTATAAAACCCCAGCCGGATTGTGGTTTCTTGTTAAATAACGTTGACGTTTCTGTGGTGCTCAAAGGTCGATTCTGTGTCCAAACGTGTCGCTTTCGTTCAGCA